TGGATATATTGGTATTACAGTTTATAGGCTAACACCTAATTTTGAAATTATTAATATGCTTTTTACAATTAAATATATACAGTATTCTTATATAGCTAAAAAAATACATGATTATCTTAATAATAAAATATATGAATTTGGATTAAATGAAAAATTATTTATTGAGTCACTAACAATAGCTCAAATATGAAAAAAGCCTTTACAATTTGAAAAGATATTGAACAGTTACCTTGTTCTGCTCATATGCTTCAATTATTAGTAGTAAAAGGTCTAAAAAAAATTACTCTATATGTAAAAAGATTTAAAAAATTAGTAAACTTTTTTACAAAATTAGTTAAACAATCTGAATGACTTGATATAGCACAAATAGATCTTGCCTAAGAAAATCATATTCAAGAAGAAAATATAGAAATTATTCGATTTAATGAATAGTCAAACCTTGATATAGATCAAGAAATTGGATCTGCAGAGAAGAAAGAAGTTGATGAATTGATAATAAAAATTTTGCATAACAGATTTGAAGTTTGTTTTTAGATAGAACTCTAGTTATTATTCATGAGCAGACTTTTAAAACTAAAGGATACAATTACATAGTTCACATTAGTATTACTATTAAAAAAATGAAATGATAATAAGAAAGATAACTAAATATTATCTCAGCTACTTTTAAAAGATTATGAATGGGATTTGTTAAAAAGAATTGTTAATGCATTAAAACTATTTAAGCAAGCAACAATATTTTTCTCAAGAAGCAAATATCTTATGCTTTCTTTAATATATTCAACAATTCAAAAATTACAAAGTCAATATACAGAAGATTTAAATAGCACTGAAATTAGTAATAGTGAAGATGGTTAAAATGATAATGGTAAATTTTTGCTTAATTTATATTATTTAACAATTGAAATAAAATATAAAATTGATTACAAAAACCTAAACTGATTATTTATATTTATAGAATTAGATCTTCTGTTTGATTCTAAAAGAGAAAATAAAAATAAATTTTACTCACAAACAGATTTTGCTTATAATATTTACTCATATGTTTTATCATCACCACCTAATCTTGATCATTTAAAAAAAGAATTTAAACATACTATTTTTAATTCTTTAGAAAAAAACTAGCATAATTTTTATGAAATTGGATTAGTTGCTACTCTCTTAGATCCTCGAACAAAAAAAATGACACCATTTACTAATAGAGAATGTAAAAAGGCCAGAATAAAGTTAAAAGATGAATTTAAAAAGTTACGAAGGCTTTATATCAGTAGTAATAATCAATTAGAACAAGAAATATTACAAACAGCTTCTAAAATTATGCAAAATCTATTTTTTGAAGATATTTTTGAAATACAAGACCAAGAAGATATAGTGCTCTTAGATGAAGTTATACAATACTTAGATCTTGCTTTTATTAATTATAATGCCAATTCTTAGCAATGGTAGAACAATTACAAAAATGAATTTCCAATATTGGCACTATTAGTATATAGATATTTGTATATATTAGCTACCTCTGTTCTTTGTGAGAGACTCTTCTCAGATACAGAAAACCTGATTACATCTAAATGTACATGATTAGGCTCAAAGATTATCAGAAAAATGCTTTTTTTTTTTTTAATTTTAAGGTGACCACTTAGGCCCCGGCACTGGGCTTTATTCAGATA